ATAGATAGATAGATAGATAGATAGATAGATAGATAGATAGATAGATAGATAGATATAGATATAGATATAGATAGATAGATAGATATAATTGTGAGATATAGATAGATAGATAAGATGATAGATAGATGGATGGATGGATGGATGGATGGGAAATGAAAGGACTTTGGGGAAGTCTGAAGAGATGAGATCCTGTGGTAGGGAAACTCTGAAGAGATTTAAAAAAAGGAGGGCAGAACCCTCTCTCTGTTAACTCTACATTCTTCCCTCAAGAGCGAAGCCCAATGAATCATGTTCTAACAAAAAAAAGAAAAGAAATCATAAACAAACATGGGGAAAAAGATAACAGAGGGGGGGAGGCAGAGAGCGTGTGATGAGAGGACATAAAATGCAACTCCCCAAACAATTCTGAGTGATTAATCCTTTCGTGGTTCCTCGTCATCAGTTCTGGAAGCGCAGCCTACATGCCAGAATAATAAAGACTCAAATCTACTTCCCAGCATTGTACATTGATGTGCGATCCCTTCAAACTGGATGAGCACAAATGTCAGATTACCTGTCCTGGTTTTCAGAGCATCTTCCAAGGCCAGACATACCTAGGCCTGGTTCTTCATAACCTCCCGCACAGATGAACACTGTGGGAGGCATTTGAGCATCACATCCCAAATTCCCACCTCCTATAAATTAGCTTTTGAAGGCTGCTACCTTCTGTTTCCGAACTGATTAATGTAGAAACAGCCTTTCTTCATCTGGTCAAGGGGACACACACACAAACACACACACACAAACACACACACACACAGTGTTTTTCTCTTCTGTCAAAGCACCTGGTGTGCCCAAATATGGGAGGGAGCTTCCCTTTAGGATTTAGGATTTAGGATTTATTCGACTTGTATGCCGCCCTATTCCCAAAGGGACTCAGGGCGGCTGAACAAAAACAATAGCAGTAGACTTATATACCGCTTCATAGGCCTTTCAGGCCTCTCTAAGCGGTTTACAGAGAGTCAGCATATTGNTGCTCTCGGGAAGCCTGGGTCAGAACAAAATGCTTTTCCTTACACCGATTCTGATGACATACCATACACTGGGGTCTTTCCTGGCAGGATGACGATGATGAGCTGGAGTCCTGAATATGTGTTTTTAAGGTGTCGGAACATGGGCTCCACACTGTCAGCACCTTGGGCGTATTTACAGAAGCAAGGCTGGCCCTGGATTGGCATCCCGGCGTCCTTAGAAATTTTGCGCAGCTGGTCCGTAAAGTTCCTATCCAAAGAAAACCGAAAGTCAGATCAGAAGAGCGTAGATGAATTTGTCACAACTGATATGCCACCCACTCAAAAGGAAAGAAGCTTGGTTATTGCTATAGAAATGGCTAGTTGTTACTATTTGGTATAACTAAAAAGTTTAAGACGTATGGACTTCAATTCCCAGAACTCCCTACCATGTTTCCCCAAACATAAGACTGGGCGGGTCATATTATTTTTTGCTCCAAAAGATGCATTAGGGCTTATTTTCTGGTTCAGTCTTATTTAGGGGGAAATACATTACTAATTGCGTCCGTCTGGCTGATGATCTTAACTGGGGTTTATTTTTGGAATAGGGCTTCTAGTATGAGCATCCTGAAAAAATCATGCTAGGGTTTATTTTCCAGCAGGATCTTATTTTCAGGGAAACAGGGTAGAAGTCCACACATCTTAAACTTGCCAAAGTTGAGAAACACTGGCCTAGGGAGTGGGGCCAGAATGGAAGCAAAGCAGGAATGTATTGTATCAATATTCCCATACTTTGTGAATTGTCTGCCTTTGGGAAAGGACAGGAAATAAGCTTGTTTCCAGTAAATCATTCTCTATTGAGCTGAACAGGGGTCGGCAAAATTAAACACACAAAGAACCACAAAGGTCCTAACCGGAAGCCCCCCATTCAATTCTAGAGCCAACCGAAAGCCCAGTTCCCCCACCATAGAGTCTCCTCCTAGTGCGGCAGCCTTTTTCCTCCACCTGTCCTAACTGAAAGCCCTATCAATTATGGAGCTGATCAGTGATAGGGAGCCGCAGCAGAGGGATGAAAGAGCCATATGCGGCTCTATAGCTACTGGTTGCCGACCCAATCTAATCCAAGTAGAGACAGAATCCTTATGTGGAGAACCTACAGTTTCAACCTGGAATCTTCTGGACATAAGCAACGTGTAAGATTTTGCACATCATCCAAAGGGGGTGTATTTTAAATCTCAAAAAAAAAAAAAAAAAAAAATGAAGATGAAAATCAACAAATGTTTAGTTTTACAATTGTTTTTGATGTGGAATCTTGGGTAGCCCAGGTAAGAACCCAGCCGCCTTGCCACAATTGACATTCTAGCAAGAACTGTAATTCTTTTTTTCCAAAAGCTGTTATTATTGTTTATGGTGTCCTTGGTACTCTTGGAGCTTGTGTTCTTGCTGATGTTCCACTACCCTACTACGCTACATAACCAGCACTGATGATGTTACTTAGTTGGGTAATGAAACGTCTGCAAGAAAACAACCAAGCTCAGAGAGCACCAACGACCCTTCGTTTCAACCCTGAGCTACAAATATTACCTTCTATTGCAATTCATATTTTGTTTAATGCTGGGGAAGACAATCAACACCAGGGGAGGTTTGAGAATTAAATTGCCTCTAGGTTCTCTGTCATGGCTGGCAACTTTGCACTGAATCAAGCTACCTTTTTATGCAGCTCCAACCTGCCTCTTTTAACCAGCAGCATCTGCCCAGCTTTTCAGGTCTGGCTTGAGCTGACGAGGTCAACTCTTTCTGTCCCTTCTAGGACAGGGGGGTCAAACTCAATTTCATTGAGGGCCATATCAGGATTGTGTTTGATCTCGGGGGCCGGAGGGGGGGCATGGCCAGCTCGATGTCACTCATGTCGGGGCCACCTGTGGTGGGCTGAGCATTCTACCAGCGAAAATGGGCTCCCAAGCTCCGTTTCCAGCTGCAATGGCCTCCAGCAACCCTCTATCAGCAAAAACAGAGCTCCATTTTTGCTGAGAGAGACACCACAGGCCGGTCCTTTGCTGCTTTCAGATCTAAGTACCATATTCTGCCCATGGACCTTCAGTTTGACACCCCTGTTCTAGGAGCTCTTTCATTTCTTTCCCCCTCCCATGATCTCTAATCACTTACTTTAGCACTTCTTCTCTGCACTGCTTCTGAGGGGCAAAGCACGCGATGGCCCACACTTTGATCTCGATCCCATTGTAGAACTGCTTCCCTCGCATATCCCAGACCCCCTGATTGGGCGTGGCGATGGCGCGATTCTGTGGGAGGAAAGTGGGTGGCATCAAGAGAGGAATCAGCCTGGAATCATCATGTTGCCACAAGTGATCCAACTCCAGCCCCCCTTGAATTCCAATGACTCCTATCTAGCCCGAATTTAGTTAACTGATTCTTGAGTATGGGCTTGAGCAATAAATCTTCTCTGTAGCTTATTGTGTGGCCCTATTCCTTTGTGCCTGACAAAATCCATACCTCAAAGATCTGAATTAGTAAGGTTTTCAAATACAGACTAGACAAGCATTTGACTGGGATAGCATAAGACTTCTGCCTTGACTAAGATGATTAAACTAGGACAGAGCTCCCAACTTTTCCAGCTTTGTGGACCGATGGGAGGGGATGGTGCCAGGGACTGGATTCAGGCGGTTCACACCGGTTTGGCCAAAACGGATATTAATTTTACATCCAGTTTGCTGAACCGGTTGTTGCAAGGACCGGCTGGCCTCGGCCATCCTACCCCACCCCTCCCCTCCCAGGTGGCTCCAGGCAGCCAGTTCATAATGTCAGGTAAGTGCAGGGTCTGCAGAGGCTCTGGGAAGGCAAAAAACAGGCCTCCTAGAAGTCCGAAAACAGGCCTGTTTCCGGCATCCAGAGGCCCAGGGGAGGACATTTTCACCCTCCTGGAGGCTTGGGGAAAGCCTCCAGAGCCTGGGGAGGGTGAAAACGCACCCTCCCCTGCCGTGGTGCAGGAGGCTGAGTAGGCCACACCCACCATGGCCATCACCGATCCAGCAACTGAGCAGAGAACCGGTTTGCTAACATTTTTCAATCCCACCCCTGGATGGTGCCATTAATGAAAATAGAGCCCACGCTGGCCTGCTGCTCGTACAAGTGGGGATGAGCATGCGCTCACCCACCACTTCTGTGACCCGGTTCTCAATGGCTGAAGCTCCGGTAGAGGGGTGCAGGCCGGAGACTGGGGACCCCTGGGCTAGAAGACCTCTGTGGTCCCTTCCAGTCCTATGATTCTGTGATTTGCTGGAGAAGAGATTTACATGGATTTTGTCCTTTAAAAAAATGCTTCCAGAGAAACAAAAACTCCTTTCCCTTCTGTTATCTTTTCTAAGATCACAGCTAAGATTCTCAGAAAGCTACATGCGACTCCAGTTTCTGAATGATGGTTTGATATGAGTTAGTAAATAAATATCTCAGCCTTCAGGAGTGCTTGTCAATAAAAGCAGCCCAGAGGTTCCTTACTACTCACCCGGCCTCCGTATTGTAAAATTGGGGCTGGCAACACCCTCCCAGTCACTTCTGTCATGTCATCTTTCACTTTTATGCCAAACTCTTGTATGTAGGGGTCCAGGTTGTAACTGGCATTTTTCATCTGCAAGACAAAGGGAGGTTGACGTTTTCAAACAAGCTAATCTCTCTAGAGCACTATTTCTCCATGTTGGAACTTTAGGATGGATAGACTTCAAATCCCACAACCCCCCGCCCCCAGCCAGCCATGTTGGCTGAGGAATTCTGGGAATTGAAGTCCACCCATCCTAAAGTTGGCAAGCTTGAGAAACGCTGCTCTAGGGGATAGGCCCCCAAAAGGCTACATCCTAGACCAGTGAGGGCTAACCTTTTTGTCGTCGTGTGGCAAAAGCGCTCACACACAAATGTGCAACAGTGCATGCATATGCATACCCATAATGCAATGGATACCACCACCCGCACATGTACCACTACCCGCACATGTGAGTGCGACCTACCCCTGGGCATGCGCAGGCTACCCCCTCCCCCATGCCCTGTTTTTGGCCTAGCAGGCCTCCCTGAAGCCTCCTGAGATCAAAAATGGGGCACAGCCCCCCCACCCCACCCCCTTGTGTATGGGCACATGCGCCCTGTCTATGCAAATGGCAGCAGAGACCTGAGAATCAGCTGGCTGGAGGCATGCTTGCATATGTGGTGGAGCTGAGCTGGGGTGACAGTTCGTGTGCCCGCAAAGAGGCTCTAGATGAGAGGTGGAGGAAAATGGCCCCTTTATGACTTGTGGACTTCACCTCCTAGAATTCCTGAGCCAATTTGGGTCCATAAGTCACAAAAGAGCCATCATTCCTCACCCCTGCTTTAGATGATCTGAGCCTGAATCTCTCATAATTCTCAGATGTCTCAACACTTCTAGAAGAAGTTGGTAAAGACTAACCTAATTAAGAGTAGGCAATAAAGAGCGGACTTGTTGGAAAACAGAAGACATATTATTGAATAGTAACTTCCCTCAACCTTGGGCAACACAGCCAGCATCCCCAACTGAGGAGGGCCCATCATGTTATCCACATCCGGTTCTAAGCATCCAAAGGATCATCTCTTCCTTCTTCTACCCAACGTACTATATTATTACCTTTACAGCACCTGCATTAATACTAAACCCTGCAAAAAGAAAGGCTGAAGCCGGGAAGTTCTCAACTTAACGACCACAATTGGGATTGACGCACGTATCAAATGAGTTGCGCCATATTTTAGAATCTTTTTGCTGCCATTATTAAGCAAATCACATGACTATTAAGTGAATCATGCTGTTAAGCAAATCTTAGAAAACGTAGAATAACTTTATTGTCACTTTAAATATACAGTAATCGGCATTCATTAAAATGAACTTTTGTTGCATACAGCTCTCAAAGGGTCACAACCTCCAATATACACTACATAAACATAACAAAAATACAAATAAATAAATAAATACAAAATTATGCATATAGCCACATGTATTCTATGACACAAAGAAACAACACAGTCTAGTTCAGATGTATACATATACATGATGAGGAAAATGAATCTTGCAAGTTTGCCAGACGGATGGTCTAGGGAACAAATCTGTTACAGAATCTGGTAGTCCTGCTAGAAATACTTCGAAACCTGCTCCCAGAGGGGAGCAAGAGAAACAGATCGTGGTGGGTGTGTGGGGTCTCTAACAATGCATTGAGCTCTAAGCTCACAGCGTTTATAAGCAGTATCCTGAATAATGGGAAGCAAGCTTTCTATAATCTTCTCCACTGTCCTTACCACTCTCTGTATGGACTTTCTATCTGAGGCCACCAAGCCAAACAGTGATGCAGTTTGTTAAAACATTCTCAATCGTGCCTCTATAAAAGTGGCCAGGACAGAAGGAGAAATATGTGCTCTCCTCATCCGACGCAGCAAATGTAGTGGTTTGCATGCTTCCCAGATATTGATTTTGCTTGTTGGAAGCCCCTGGGACGGTTAGAAATAGGGATCCCATGATCCTGGGCTGCTAGAATGATTGTAAATATATGCTGGTAGCCAAGGAACTAAATTTTAATCATGTGACTGCAAGGATACTGCAACAGTTTTAAGTGCAAGGAGTGGTAATAAGACACATTTTTCAGCAGCATGGTAATTTTGAACAGCAGTTAAATGAATGGTTGTAAAATGAGGACCACGTGTACCCTGAATTGTACACAGCTGGTATGTTATTAAGCAGAGCCAAGAATTAAACTCCTGCACTTTCTTCCTTCTAAATTACAACAGCATTGAGCTCTGAGCTTCCTACCACCTTCATACGAGCGCAAAGGTCACCTCCCATTCTGGCATGGTTCTGACGAAAAGAAGTGGTACTTACCAACCGGCTAATTTCTTCTTGCCTGTCAGGAGCAGATCGCGCTGTAGCTTTGATCATGGTAGACGTCTGATTGTCTGTCAGTTTTTTGATGCACCGCTGGCCAGCCACAATGTTACACACCTGGAAAATAGGCGAGGAGCAGGTGTTTGTTTAAAGCGACCACCTTTCCTTGAACTCAAAAGGGGATGAAAGCAACGATGATTTTGTGGTTTTGTGTGTAGCGTCGCGATTTTGCCAAACCCTGGCTTGAGCAAAACAAAACTAGCTGGGACAACGCATTGTCAGAGTTTGCAGCAGCAATCATATCCAGAAAGCACACGCAGGTAACTGATTCAGCAGGATTCATTAACTTCTCTTTATGTATAATAGAACACATGAAGTAAATATACAATACCAAAAGCTGGTTCCTCCAATGTGGTAGAGTACAAGCAAGCATGTGCAGAGTGTAGAATAGTTTCAGTTTTAGTTCAGAGCAGCAGATTAGTATAGAGCTAAGCCATGCCCAGGTTTCAAACTGTTTCACATTAGCTGACCTTGTTACTAAACCCTATTCCAGTTCATGAATATACACTGACACGCATCCAGTGGTGGGATTCAAATTTTTTTACTACCAGTTCTATGGGCATGGCTTGGTGGGCGTGGCAGGGGAAGGAGCTGTCTTGACTCTCTCTTAATCAAACTATCTAAACTTTGCTGTCTCTTGTCTATGGAAATTCTCAGCCATCCAGGTCATGGTTGTCCCAAAGGTGCTTTTTCAAGTGGCAATTGGAGTTTCTGTGGGTTTCCTTGAAGATGTTTCACTCCTCCTTCTTCAGAACTGAAGAAGTGTCAGCCTCTGCTTCGCTTACTTGCTATCGGCTGTCATAGAAATGGGGAGGGTGGGGGCATGGTATTTGGGATGGGAATAAATGGTACTGGAGGTGATATGGCAAAGGGAGTTTTCTTCTCACTATCTTCTGCACATGCTGATGGTCGGTGTTTGGACCTGGTCAAGGCCAACTGTCCTGATGATGCTGTCTGAAGATGCAACCCATATGACACTTTAAGGAGTTGCAGATTGGACACTGGGGTGGGGGTCGTTAGAGGGGGGGTTGGGTAATTGTTTGATATGCATG